TACAATAACTCCAGGCGGAGATTGGCAGTGAGGCCAAGGAGTCGTGTGCAGTATCCTGGCATGATAGGTGATGACTGTTTTTTGATTTCATTGTTTGTTGACTAGATGGCCAATCTGGGGGGGAATGCGGTAACAGTTTGGCATTGTTAGGCAAGCTTCAAATGGTTCCAGCCGCTTGCGACTCTCAACGCTTCTTCAGCAGATTGGCTGTAAATGCCACAGGGGAACCTGCTTCGAGCGTGTCCGGGAAGATGAGAACAAAATCTTGACATTCCTCGACACCTTTTGGAGTCTACAAAAACCAGACCAAGATGCATACGTTTCCCAGCTGGAAAGTAGATGAAAGCATGCACAGCCTGATTGTTTGTCATTTGTTTGAGGATTGAACCATTTTTGAAAGCTAAGATTTGCAAGATGGTGGGGGGCATCCCAAAGGGGAATCGCTGCTGGTGCCTCTTGGAGGAAAAGAATGTGATCGCAGCCAAGTGCCTAGCAGCCCTTTTAGGCATTCGGAGGGGTCGTTTGGCCACCGCTGGCGAGGGCAGATTGGATCGAAGATATCGATGCTTCGGAGGTGTTGCTCGTTCTAATTAGTAGGCAGAACCTATAGCAACACCCTGAAAGCTGTAGCCAGACTATCCGACAAACATGGAAGCTGTGCCGTGCAAGGCTCAGAGGAGAGCAGCATTGAAATACATGAAGCTGGACACGTATTTCTTGAAATTGTATATCGGGGCAGCTGGTATGCTTCCGGACAGGTCTCCTGCTTGAAAGCTGGTTCGTGGTTTGATGTTTTGAGATTGGGGTGGGGACTTGGAGGTGCTTCACCATGTTTGCAGGTTTCAGCGGGCAGCACGAGCACGAGAATCTGCCACAGACTCCAAGCTCATCATCACCTTTACCCATGGATGCCATGATGATGATGTAGGTTGCTAAGTCGCATGGGCTTAATGTGTCGGTTTTGTTGCTGTGCTCAGTCTTCTCCAAATTTGTGTTTCTCTCTGAGACTACGATGGTGAGATTTTGGCACACCATCACGATGAGGACGAATGGGAGGTACCAGAGGAGTCCATAGACTCTGATTTGGAATTGAAACTCCATATATTGGGACACAAAGCGCTTTGGTCCCAGAGCCATGTCTCAGTTAGGTGACTCTCTTGGCTGGGATGCTAATGAAACTCTCAAAGCATTGGGAACTTGGGAACTCAGGACCATCGAAACCAATTTTTCTCAAAACCCGAGCAGTTTGCCAACACGCCATTTGGCACCTGGCAATCTGAAGCTTCTCCATGCCACATGTGGGCTCCAAGTGTCGTTTCCTGTCTTAGCAGCAAGTGTTGAACCTTAACTTGAGATTCACAGGAACCGGAGACCAAAACATTGATTCAGGTACGCCCACTTCGCGAGACGCTTCAAGATGAAATGGGGAAACCTCCTCAGATTTTCGAACCCCACTGGGTTTGCGCTTTGCGATGACTGCACGGCCTACAAGACTGCATTCGAGGATGAGCACGACCTCTGGCTGCAGCCCAGAGCTTCGACATGTTTCAAAAGTTCACGCATGCATGTCTGTGCCAACAATGTTTTGTGTTTCCCTCGAATTGAGGATGCATTGCAGAAATTCGAGATTTCGAAGCAGTACAAAGATCATTTGAGCGCAGTTGCGACTGACCGACGCCTAGAATCATTTTTGCAGGCTCCTGTGAACATGTGTTCTGTCTTTTGAGTGAAAGTCACAAACCAAAAGTTTGCACAGGCGTCCGATCCAATGCAGGGAGGTGACACACTGCTATTATCAATGGAAACATGTCCGCACATAGTGTGTTGTTTGCCGAGAGTTGAGAGTCTCAAGGGCGATTGATGGTTGCCGAGGATGGCATGGACCAGAGTAAATGGGCCTTGCCCCGTGTGAGGCACGGTCAATTGACGAAGGCCCTACAAAAACTTGAGCGTCCTCGCACGAAAGTGCAGGGCTGCTGGGCACACAATGTGGCTCTCTTCTTTCATGTTGTTGAAGTGCGACAACCATCTGACGGAAGCACTGTTGTTGAATCCATGCTGAAGACCATTGAATATGCAGAGAGCATCCTCAAAGACAAAATGCCCAAAAAGATTTTGATTTGGGTGCCTAGGCAGAAATGTGGTGCAGGGTGAAATCCAAACAATTTGCATCAGCAATCATTGGGTGTACCCTAAGGCTGACAATTGTGTCAGGGAGAATAAAAACCAGACCTTGATCAAGACATTATGCTGGCTTCTTCTTCAAAAGGGCCTAGAACTGACTGGCGTACTCTTCCACAGAGTAGGCCACACACATGGTTCGCTCGGTGGCTGTTTTGCACTTAGAGGTGTTGAATGCAAGTAATGGTTCATGAGACCGGGTTCCCTGTTTTGCCTCCCTGGTTCGCTGAGATCAAATGTTCGGCGTACTGTCTCGCTCGATGAGATGGGTAGATATGCTTGCGGATCCACAAGACATAGTAGAGAGTCTTGGTGCCAAGTGTGCGGTGATGGTGAATGAATCCGTTAGATATAACAGCGCGCTGTTCCCAGGAAGTTGCGTTTCCTTTGCAGCAAGATCAACCTCAAAGCCTGGCTTGGCAACGCCTGTGTGGTTGTGGAGGAGCTCAGGACGACCCGAGACTGGAAAACGTGGTTTCTCGACCTTTCATTGTTGCTGCTCGGGTAGTCTTCGGTCTTCAGAACTCTCTTAGGCTCCAGGCCGCCCCTGTTCAGATCAAGGGTGGCCTGAGGGATGACAGTAGCGGAGCTCATGCATTTCTCTTTCTGACTAGAAAAGGCCGGGCTTGTAATACTGTCTTGTGGGTGGGAATAGAATGCCATTGATTGCTCCTGGCAGATGTGCCTGGCAATATGACCATTGTGGCAGAGGGTCCTGGAAGAGATCGGCTTCACGAGTCATCTCTTGACGTTGTTTGTTGCGTGAAGCGCTTTGCAGCTGATGATGGTCTTTCCCAGGACTTTGTTTTCCTGCTGCTGTTGAATGGAATAGTGAGCTCGAAGCCTGTGTGCAGGATCCAGTGCTCGTGTTCCCCTTTGAGTTCCACGCTCTTTTGGGTGAGATACCCCGGACTCCGAGGCCCTTGAAAGTTTTCGACTCAGAGCGTCGCAAGAAACTCTTGCAGCTTGCTGACCTGCTTCTGAAAACAGAAGCTACTGCCAGCACTGAGAGGAGTGTCAATTACTTGTTAGCTCTCAGTGATGCAAGAGCTAGCCCCGAGGCACTTCCTGCTTTGCCTTGGGTTTCAGCACGAACCCATAGCGACTGTCATGATCTAATTACCTTGAATCTGGGAAAGCAGCCTGTCCTAGACAAGATACTTCCCCAGATGCGTTTCCAAGCTCGCATGAACCGACGTCGTGAGTAGAAAGGATCCTCTCACATGCTCTTACTGTTCAGTTTGGCCTGCAATGACACATGAAGCAAGTGGCATTGCGAAAACACATTATAGCAGCAGTATATGTTTTTTGTCGTTCAAGTCAGGGACGCACTAGGGTAGGCCTAGAAGGGTGGAGGTTACGTGACCAGACTGAGATGGATCTGATGGAGAGGACTGGGCTCGGGTTTTTCCATTTACTGTTCAAAATGTGAGTTGATCAGTGACTGGAATATGCATTGTACCAGGACACCCGGGGGTTCGATGAAGCGCAGCTTGCCTGATAATGAAACGGACTTCGGCTCTCCCAACCCTCGCGTTAAGCGAAAGCTCTTTTGTTGCTGTCCAAAAAAACTCCAAGGACTGCACACTACTTCGATGCACCTACTTTTTTCAGTTATTTACTAATTGTTTTAAGTATGCTACCAGTATACCTATTTCTGATCTTCGTTTTTCGGTGTGCAGGACTGGAAAGAACCTATGCTGACTACATTTGAAGAAATACCCGACTCCCAGGCGCATGTAGTTTCCTAACTTGCCAATCAACATGCTGTTTACAACCAACCACTTGCAGGACCCCTACTATGTCTCCCCGCTCTCTACTGAGAAGGCGGCGTATTGCACCCAACAGCTACTATTTGTTTGTTCTATTGCATCATCTTTGCTCACAGGCCAGATCACTGAACACAACGTCCCTCAGCAAGGCTCGCTGCAAACGAAAAGTCCTTGGGAATTCCTAACTTGCGGCAGGGTGCCCAGATGAACCTGATAGCGTCTGCAAAGCTCCTTCAGGCAGACTCCTTTTCCAACATGCGAAGCTCACACCTGCAATTGAAATTCGTGTGAGAACGAAACACATTCCTCCGCTCTGACAGGCCCACAAGATCTTGAACAAGGAGGGAAGCAACCCTGTCCATAAAATGATGGACGTTGCTTCTACGATGCTTCAGGGTGTGTCCAAACTTTGTGCTTTAAATGCTGGGCGCGATGTGCTGTTTTCGGATGAGGAGTCTTAGTGACAGACTTCCCCTAATTTAGGCTGTGAGTGTTTTAGGCTTATTTGACACTCCAGTCGCCTGTGCAGGGAGAAACGTGCTAGCTGATATTGAACGATGTTCTTTGTGTCATGCTGCTTCATGCAGGGAGGTCTTCTGATGTCAGCATGCTACATACTGTTCAGCACTTGGTCGAAGCTGTTTTCGGGTCAACTCACGTCGGTCCTGACTTGGGGTCCCTGCTGAATGAAGAGACTTGACATGACTTGACCAAACATTCCACTGCATGTGTTTTTCAACAAACCTTTGGAACCTGTGGGTCCAGTGCATGCTTCTCAGGAAGCCGACTCTCAGGGAGGCCGTGCAGGCAATCAATCGCTCATCACCTGGCACTGGCAGGATCTGACAGACTGTCTCAACCCAGCATGCTTTACTTGCTTTAGATCTGTTTGCAGGACCGTTCAGAAACCATACCTCAAGGGCAAAAGGATTGCAGGTCAGAAGATTGCCAAATCCAGGACTCGTGTTTTGTTTTCTGGCCACAGTGAATAGGTTTCCTTGATCAAACTACGCCAGGACCTACTATTATCCCAAAACCTCTATTCCGATGGCCAGCTCAGAAGACCCATTGGGGCCAAAGACTGTGAAGGAATCATTCAAGTGGGCTCCACTATTCCTGGAACGGCTATTCAACCACTTTGGCCGCACCAAGGTGATCCAACGGCTAAGGAAATGGAGATGGGAGGTCGGGACTGTCTTCAGCGGAATCGGTTGCGCTGAAGCGGTGGGGGGCTTGGAGAGGAGCTAACAGGCATTTAAAGATTTGTTGACCCCTTTTTGAGTTCCTTTGGAGGCTTTGACGAGCTTGGAGGCGGCTGTTCAGCAGTCACTGCGAAAGGTCGCTCCCTGTGTAAAGACCCACTATGCCTGTGACTTCGATCGTTCATGCCAGAGAGTGTTGTGCAATACATACTCGTCATGTGTTTTTTCGAATGTCATGGACTTCGACCCGAACAAAAAGAGCCTATGGTGTGAGAAGCATCAGCGCATGTGCAGCTGTCAGCTACCGTGCAAAACAAACAGTTACCTAGCTGAGTTGTTTGAACTTCACCTGGATTGCAGTAGCACCAATGAAAGTACATTGTTTAAAACAAGCCCTCAACTCATCTCAGGCTTGCGAGTCAAAATCGCAGGACAGGAGTGTGTTGTTTAATTACACTTAAGAACCCTACCACTCTTTCCAGGACCGCCATGCCAACCATACAGCCGCATGGGCCTTGGTAAGGGGGACGGAGACATCAAGTACAAGGTGCATGAAAAATACTACAGTGACCTAGAATCTGCTGATGTGCACATCATTGAGAATGTGACCGAGTACCAATTGGAACGGTACTTCAATCTCTACTTCAACCCTGATGGATCTACTGGGTGGGATTTCCGGGTGTGCCGGATTGACCCGAGGGTGTTTGGATTCGCCTGCGCAAGGCCCCGGGTGTTTGGGGTCATGTGGAAGACTGCGTACATCGGCCTCTGGAACCCAAACTTCGAGTTTGTAGAGGTCTTGAACTCATTGAGGGCGCAACCTACTATGGGGGTGAGAGACTTCTACTATATGAAGCTGGACCCAATGCCTTTGAGTCAGGGAGAGGTATTTCAGCTCAATTAGGAATGCGTTTTGTGTCCTATGTTAGTGGGTCCCCTTACTTCTGAAGCAGGCCAAGCCTTGGTAGCTCCACAGTCTTCCTCTGCACCAATCCCAGGAGAGCAACCTGCAGGATTACATGGATCCGAGCAAGTTCAAGAGGACTGATTGGGAGGTTGCAGATCTCAACCAGCGTGTGGCGGCAAATCGAGGGAGATCAGAGTGCAAAGATGGTTCCCTAATGTGTGTGACGACCAATTCAGGCCGCCTCTACAACAAGGTGCCTGAGGTGAAAAGAACATGAGGGATGCATGCGTCAATTTCAACAACTAACCTTGATAATACTATTAGAAGATATGATAATAGATAGATCTATATGCAGTTGGCGAGGCCCTACAGCGTGTGATGCACCCCCTCGAGCTTTTGGCCACCCACAGCTTGCCTGTCGATGCAAAGCAAAGCGCCATCTCGAAGTCGCCGAAGTTGGAACTCTCCTCCACCTCCAAAACGGCACAGATTCGGATGGCTGGAAATGCGATGTCGGTACCCACCATGGGGGCTATCATAGTTGCCACCATCTTGGGCTTGAGCTGATGAGTGTGTGCATTGTAAGTTCCTAATTCGGAAAATGCTTTGAACAGAAAGCGTTGAACATTGTGTGGAAAACATGTCAAGGAAACTTTGTGTGTCCGCGAGTGTTTCATGAAAAACTGGTCAACATGCGACACAAAATATGTTATGTTATCTAACCTCAGTCCTTTTGGATCTGTGGGGTTTGGGGCCACTGTGACTCCTCAATGGGTAAACGTGCTGCTGGTGTGGCCACGCCACCATCGAGTAAGTCTCAGAAGTCTGGCCTTAAGCTGGGACCATGGAGCAACAAGATTTGGCTTAGTGTGAAGACCCTTGCATGAATTCATTTGAACCAAGTGATGACCAATGGTTTGGAGGGGCGCCAGTCTCAAAAAAGAAGCCCAGCTGAGGAGCTTTGATCCTTTGAAGGATGAACATCCTGTCACTTGGCTCTTGAGCAATGCCAAGCCTGAGCTCTTTGCTCCCCTACATGACTGGCTATGTCATGTCCTGGGATCAACCCTTCCTCACCCGAGTGACCTTCGGACTCCGGACAAGTGGGCCACAAAACTGTTTGTTTTCCATGAGCTCCAAATCCTTCCTGTTTGTTGTTTATTCATTGATGGTGACAAGACCCACCCTTGGTCAGGACGAATCTGTTACATCCAGCATGGATATTCCCATTCTGGCATTTCAACCGACCATGCCAGTGGATGGCTTGACAATGCTGGCGGACTGGCTGAACACAGCTGAGTCCATTTGGGCAATGGGCTATGAATCCTTTCGGGAGAGCATCGAGTTCAAACCGCTCACCCCAGACAGTGCCAAGTCAGCGATGGCCTTTGCCAGTCTGGAGGTGACAAAAGGATTTGGGAGATCTAGCATACTTCTGTTCTCGCTCTTCTACTCATACGTGGTCCTGAAAAAGGGATTGACAGATGAAGAGCTGGAAGACTTTCGGAAGTGGCCCGGTATGATTTAGGAAGGGGATATGGAAAGGGTCGCCTTTGGCCAGCCTATGTCCCCCAAATCTCATAGGTGATGGTGGGGTCGCCATCGTCGCCTTTCACATAAGGGACTCCCTACTACACTATCTCAGCCTCCTGCAGGGCAGGGGATTGTAAGGGAGGCTGGCTGCTAGGGCTAGCAACTAAAACCAAAAGGTCAAAGGTGATGGTGGGGACCCCATCGTCGCCTTTGGTGAATAGGGACAGTCCCACATGCAAAGGGAAATAGATCTGATAGCTATGGGACAAAGGGAAAGGCATCTGTCATCTGGTAGCTGGGAAGGCAAAATGGCAAAGGTGATGGTGGCACCCCCATCGTCGCCTTTCCAAGTTGGGGAACTTGGGACCCCCAAAGGTGAGGCAAAGGTGATGGTGAGGGTGCCATCGTCGCCTTTGGGTTCCAACTGAGGTTGCTTTGGGTTCCAACAGTTTCACTGCCCAGAATAGGTGGGAAATGGGCTTCTACACCAGGGGGTTCAGGTGAAGTGTTTTAAGGGTTTGATTGTGACACCCGTGAGGAAACATTAAAAGTTCTTTGGGGGGTTGATTGTGACACCTGTGAGGAAACATGGAGAAACCTTTAAGGTTTTCAACTGGTTGAAGAGTAAACGTAGCATGGTTTCCTGTCTCTTCAGGTGGCTCCAAACCGCTTTGGTGGTGAAATGCGTCTACATCAAGCAGAACAACCCACAGGATTATGTGTGGAGGCGACTCCACATCAACGATCAACAGGCTGAACGACAAAAAAATCAGTCCTCCAGCTTTGCCTTGCCTTCCATTCACGTACTGACCAAATCGTGAAGGACCATGGGCAGGATAGTATTAGATAATTAATTATTATATGTTATTTTTAAGGTAGTTGATGGAGAAGATTGCTAAGGGACTCCCACTCCCACAGTTTGATACACGAGAAGTCCATGTGTCCTGCAATGTCTTGCAATGGGTCGTGGGTTGTTCCCCCCCAGGACAGCCATGGCGCTCTACCACCTGGTGACGCAGGTTACCGGCAGGCCTGGGACATGGCCATCGAGGAGTACAACTCCTATGGCCTTGGCAAGAACAAGATCGACAAGAGCACAGCCAATCTCTTCTTTGGTTTCAAGGCTCACCAACAGGGGCCTAGTGACAAAGATTTTCATGGGCAAGGACTGTTAGGTCCGACCTCGGGCTAGACAGTTTAGGATCATTTATATGTCAGAATCATTAGTAGTAGGGTGTGATGATTATGCAAGACTGTGACATGTTCCCCAACTAACTGATGTAGCTATTCCCCCTATTCTTTCCCAAAGAGATTGGCAAATGAGTGCCTGTAGCTGGCTTGCCTGTGCAACCAGGTGGGGGTTTCTGACCGGGTTTGGAAGCTGATCCGTCAACACCTGGATGTGCACAAGTTTGAGCACTCAGGCACAAACCTGCTGAAATCAGAAAATCACCAATGATGTATAGAAATTAATGTGTTAGCTGTGCTCGCTTTGAGAGGTCAAGACATGTTCAACAAACCTTTAGGACAAGTTGTTTGTCGTTTTGACCGCCTCGTAGTGTACGGCACTAGTATCCTCACATGATGGTTTCGCGTTGATTCGTGAGACCCTGTCCAGCTTTCCATCGTGAGACTTTGCTACACCCTCGATGGTTTCTTGGAGGAAAGCCAAAGGGCCTGGGAGGAATCTGGGCAGACATCATGGAGATGAACGAGCTCAAACAGCATTTGTTTCTCCAGCGAATATTATTCATTTTCGAGGTCACCAAGAGATCAGCTGGAAAAGCACAAGTACTACGATTGTCACTCCAGCAGTGGAACTCAGAGGTTGATGTATTGTGCTTGGCTGGCTTTGTGATCGAGGAAATGCAGCGTTTCAGGGATCCCAACAACTTGGCTGTGTTCACGAATGAAACACTGGCTATAGTGATGAGCCGGGTGATTGAAGGGTTGCTTGCCTGAGAGTTCATGTTAGGGACTGGGGCCAAACATGGGACACCATGGGAAACCGTTCACCAATCCCCAAACCATTCACCAATCCCCATGTTAACCAATGAGGTGTTCTTGGGTGACTTCTGTAATAATCTGAACGACCTTTGGATTACAATTGAAAGTCTGTCATGACCTAAGGGACTTCCATGAAGAGCTGCGGCCGTTGGTGGAGGGCATGGACCCAGCTTGGAAGGCAGATATGTGCTCAATGTGGGTTGAGCACCACCCTACTGCCAAAGCCTCCGAGGAAGGCTCCCAACTTGTTGACCAAAAGTTGGACAAGATGGTGCTTGAAAGCAACAAGCTCCAGTATGAGGCAGATGCCCTCTCTTTGGCGTGCGACGCGTCCCAACTGGCTCGCTTGTTTCAAGCCGATCAAAATTCTGAACGAGCGGCCAGGATCGCGAAGATTTGCCACCTTCGCCAGGAGAACCAGATTGGATCCAACCTGGCCGCGCAGTTCATGGCCAAGCACTGTCATCACAGAGCTGGACCTGTTGCAGACCTTCATGAAGAACTCTTCAAGGCAACTTCATGTTAAAATCTGGCAGTGCCCAGCCCCACAAAGAATGATTTTGTTTGGCAACTAGTAACTATTAAATTAGTTAAACCCTGAAGTTTTGAATCTTACTCAAGCTATCCCCTTCTTGCCCTGAGTTCACGACCAAGCTCAAAGCGGACAATGGATCTCTGGTCATGTGGGTTGACTACATGAAGTTGGGACGCTTATCGACACAGGACCTGAACATGACCTGCGACTCCATCCGGAAGGGGCTCGCCTCTATGCCTGAGAAAGGTGTGTGCTTCTGCATCGCACCACACCTCACGTCGGATCGGCGCAGTGGACTGCGTGCTGAACTGAGGAGCCTTTGACCCACAAAAGCCCCATGAGAATTAGCAATGACCCCTACCAACTTCAAGTGAAAGAACTGAGTTTCCTCATTAAGTTGCATTAAGTAAGTAAGATCAGGGGAATGTAACCCATAATCGTTTTGGCTTTAGAGTTGCCCACTCTATTCCTTACCAATCCCTTTCTTCAGGAGGGTGGAGGATAAGCTGGATGCAAAAGGCCTTCATTCTGAAAGCATAACACTGAGATTGGAGGCTGCCCCAAGCACAAAGAAATGCCAGTTGTGGTATCCGGGGTGGCTCATTTTTGCCAGTGGCTCCTTCGACTCCAATGTGTGGAGCATGTCGCAACTCTTAGCACAAAGGCTGGGGGTGCCCAAATCTCTAATTTTGGAGGGTGCTCAGTTGTAGGCCCTGGTTTGGGGAAGATTGTCCTGGAGAGGTCGACTCCTGATCTTCTCCCGTGGAGCCCGGAGCCAATACACAGTCCCATCTGGCCGGGAGGCCACACCTCATGCGTCTGAAGGTGTCAGGCCTGGAAGCTTGAAAAGAAGTTGGTCTCTGGTCTCCCATGTCTTTCTTTACAACGGGGCAAACTTGTGGGAAACTGTTTTAACCAGACTCAAAGACAAATGAATACATGATAGTACATGTGTTTCAATACAAAAAACCATAGGGCAGGGGAAAAAACACCTTGCCCCTGCTAGATCACTATCAGATGTTCAAGAAACTGCTCAACTTCTCTGTGGACTCACAATGCCAAGCTCCGTTCTGACAAGCCTACTGACTGGCAGTGAGACGGGGGGAACTCGTTGGGCTGGTCAACATGACACCCTATGATGGGAACCTCGAGCAGGCAGTGCTCAAGATGGGATTGGACCATCCAGAGCGCACATTCCGAACTTTGTCACTGAGCACTGATCTCACTGTGAGCCAGCACACTGAGAAAGTCTTGGCTTTTCATCTCTTTGAGGACAAGTGCCTTTGGAAGGTCATAGAATTAGAATAATCATGACAAACAAATGTCAGAAGAGATCCTATGTTTTTGTCTGACATTAGCGGTCCCCTCAAAACGCCTGGACAGTTGTTTCAAGGGTTTAGAGAGCACACACCCCAGGCAGGTTTACAGGGAACCCCACATAAAGGAGTAAGCAGGGTTCTGAACATCTTGTATTTTGTTGATGGCGCAGGACTGGAAGAAAGGGGGGAAGCCTATTGGGGGATGTGCGTCAATTCGATCCCAATCCTCCACCACCAGAAGCAGTGGACGCAACATCATTTCCTTTGAAGCTTGCCCACTTGACAGTGGACAACAACCTCAAAGGAGTGAAGAAGTACAAGGTGGAGCTTCCAAACGCAGTGAGAACCGCACATATCAATGACGCTATCAATGGCCCTGCATGGCGCAATTTGGTCTTGGACTTCGACAAGAAGCCTTTGGGTTTGTTAAGCCAGTAACTCTTTGGTTTGGTTTGCCCAGCAATTTGGTTTGCAGTTACGCAGTTAGTAAACATTAGGTAACTGCACCCCAAAATTAACAGCTCCGAATAAAAATTGCCCACCCAGGTTCTGCACGACTGCTGGGCCAACAGATCCCACGGAGCAAGCTATCGCGCCTGTCGAAGAGCCGCCGCCACCAGCTTTCGCCTTGGAGCCAGACAACATTGATGCTTTGATAGAGCAGTATACGGTTGAGAACAAGATTCCGGCTAGGGAACCAGGCTGCACTCTGATGTTGACTAGTGCAGTGAGACGCGATGGCAGCAAAGTGGAAATGCTGGACAACCAAAGATTCAAGCTCTGGATGGTATCTTGTTTGTGGATTCAGTCTATAATTTTGAGTAATCAGTGAAGGTCTAGTTAAGTCTAGTTCTTCGAGAAGTTGATCAAGCCATGGAGGGGAAAATGGTGTCTTCTTAGAATTATTGCAAAACACATGTTGAAAAACCATGGGTGGATATCTCTTGCAAACTCCCCTCAAGTGGAAAACATCCAGGTCCCAGACCTGAACCCTTCTATCTCCACCTGTCTGAGGTATCACACCAAGACAAGGAAGTCGGTGCCGGAGATTTCCAGATCGCGCATGGCAAGTCTGGCTGGCTCAAGGGCGAAAAGTTCCAGAAGATGATGCGTGAGACTGCTGGAGGCTTGGGTCGGGAAGACTGATTTAATTTGCTCTGTCAAGTCGATATGCAATGTCTACTATATAATAATTACGACGTGCTGCAGCAAGAGTTGACAATCCAGTGCATGATCTGTCGATGGGTTTCGATCGTTTCCTTCAAGGAGGCTTAGAAAGACTAGGGGGCCCAGCACTGGTAGTGGACTCATTGCTTCAAGGGTTCTGATGTCGTCCCTAGCCGAAGTGCTTGCGAAGCATGGTTTGCAGCAGGACTGAAAACTTGCTTGGGGGGGAACATGGACTCGACTTGATGTAAGCAGGTGTTGCTATAAACATTGCTTTATATAGCTTTGGCTCTCAAGGAGCCACCATGAGAGACCCTTGTTGTGTGAAGGACTTGGACACCATGCTGTCCACAAGTCCCGGGGCAATCGAGACTCCACCAAACCGTGTTGCAAGGGCCTCAATTCTGTGATGTGGCATGTAAAATCCTGTATTCATTGCTGCAGTGGCATGTTTTTGGCTGTGCATCTAGTACACCAATATCATATGTCATAATACCTCAATTATTTCCATTCGTCTTCAGAAGGACCTTCCCAAAACATACATCAGAACCTTCCCAAACAAAACGAAAACCTTGGGGTTGAACAGCTGTGAAAAAGTGACTTTTCTTTGACACACCCACTCCAACTTCTCATTGCTTGGATGACCTCCCATGACTGACTGCTCAGGTTCCGAATGGCTCGCCTCCAGAGGCATCGAAGCCATCACCTCCCAAGGGCACCACCTTGCCCATGCGTTCCTCAGAGCAGCCCACTCCCAAATTGAACAGTGAAGAACAACAGTGTCTGCAGGGCAAGGTTAAGGATGCCATGGCTACTCTTACAATGGACAAGAAAGAGGCAAGCAAAGCTGCTAAAGCTATCAAAAATAGGATTGCCATCAATGAGACTGATGGCAAAGCTGCAGCAGAGCCAAAGGCAAAAGGAAAGGCACCCAAAGCAAAGGCAGCACCCAAAACAAAGGCATCACCCAAAACAAAGGCATCACCCAAAACAAAGGCAGCACCCAAAACAAAGGCAGCACCCAAACCAAAGGCAAGGAGGTCCAAGAAGGAGTCTGCCGACACATCACTAGCACAAGAACGGGAGTCCCCCACTCCTGAACAAACCCAGAAAAGGAAACGTGCTGCTGCTGCTGAGAAACCGAAGACTGCTCCCAAACGGAAGGCTGGGTCAAGCAAGTGGTTCTTTCCGTCCATTAAGTATATGTATTATGACATCCTGTTTGCTACTTACTGTGTTTGCTGCACCAACCATACATAACTTCCTGAGACAGCAGAAGCAAAAGCCGCTGCAAAGAACAAGAAGAAACAACCTGATGATGAGGCCAGGGCTTTTAAGTAGTGGGGCCGTTCCCTTTAAGTTTCATTCATTTTGTATTCTCCTGTTTTAGGAGGACGTCTTGGACAGTGAAGAGCAGTTCGAGAGTGAAGAGGAGAATGGGAGTGAGGCGAGTGATGCAACCACTATGGTGCTTGGTCAATGGGACAAGGCGCAGGCGAAGGAGGGTGGGAAGTCGGATGTGGAGCCTGCGGACATTGCCGAAGGTGAGGAGACGCACGCGGCTGACACCTTGCGCGTCACATACTGGGCCGTTGTCCACGAGGAGCAGAAGAAGATCAAGAAGAAGAACCCAAAAATGTCAGCCAAGGAGGTTCTCAAGCTTGCTCGTGAAGCGTGGGCTGGATGCAGCAAACACATTTTCTTGAGTGTTCTTGTTATTTGCCCCTTGCTTTGTATGTCATGGTATGGGTTCGAGGTCTGAGTCAGCATTCCCTGACCTTTCTGCCAGGTGGAATACTCATCCTATGCGGCTGAACGCCATGAAGCACATGTCCAATTCGGAGCTGTCTAGGAGGCGTCTGAAACAGCCTCAGAAGTGAATCTTTTTGGAGTAGCGTCTATCCCTTTTTCACGCTCCAATGTGGGCACTCTGCCATGGCGGCAGAGATATGTATGTTTTGAGAGCGTGGTGGATAGAGCCAGGCTTGCGAAGCCTTGCATTTTGCAATTTCTAGAATGCCTGCTAGAGGCTACTTGCAACTCATCGTCGAAGGGGGAAACATTTGCAGATTTGTGTCTCTTTGTGCATCACTCAACACTTCCTAATCGGACAGCCAAAGGCCATTCACATCCTTTCAGACATTCAACTGGTGGTTGTTGGTGGCTGGCAGGGGATGCCCTTCGGCATGTCATTCCTGCTCGATGGGAAAACGATACTTGCAAAGTGATCTTGGACATGCAAAGTGAAACGTCCAAACAGTGCACTGATGCAGAAGCATGTACGATTCGATCACTGGTTCATGAACTGGAAGAGGAAGGCTTGGTTGATACCTCTCTCCATGGACACAGCCTTGAACGGCCAACGTCCACTGCTGACGACAATGGCGCCTTGCTGATTCAATGGTTGTGTCTAAGGAAGCCCTTGTGCGTGCATCGGTGCTTGATTAAAGTGACTGTGGAGTATCATCATTCAAATTCTTTAGTGTGGCTCAGGAACAGACTACTACGTGGTGAAGCCGACCAACCCAGGTATGTTTACCTATACTCCAGGGGTTGGAAACCTCAAGTTCTCTTCATTGGCCAGTGCTTTCACTGCAGAGGCTAGGGAATTTACTTGCGGTTGATGTTCTCATCTCTTTTGAGAGTATTGCATAGAGTATCCCTTGAACAACGTACTACTCTGAATGTCACATAACATTCTGACTGCAAGGAGTTGACTAAAAGTCCAACAATCATCCGATATTGGAGAGTGGCCTACTTGAAGGCTGAAAAGGAGCCTTTGATCATGTTTTTTGTTTGTCTCTGGTTCTGGTATCAAAAAGTCAACTTGGAATGGATCCCACCCACCGACCCCTCCTTTGCACTGCCAAGTTTCAAGGAGCTTATGCCGCGAAGCTCGACAGCAAAGGCCATTGCCAGCGCTCGATGCAAGGCAAACATAAACCAAAGCTGCCTAGTAGTAGGCTGAAACACTTTCGTTCATTGATTGCAATGTGGAATGCCTGGCCATGAGCTATCTGAGGGAAACCACTGTATTTTCTCCGCAATGCCCATTCATTCAAGACGAATGGCGTACTGAGATTGGTCTGAACGGTGGACAGTGTAAGGGCTTCTTGAGTGATCCCATGTCAATGTCATGGCAGGAGTATAAGGCTACAGGCATGGCATTCTAGCACCAACAAAACCTTTGTTCATCCTTTGGGGAGGGACTTCAAGTTGCCAAGGGGATCTGTCCAAGAGTTTTGTGGAAAGAACACGTGAGAGCATGTGACACTCTGTGATGTGGCGAGCTAAAAAAAGGCAGTGCGGCATTGCATCACTCCACTTCCCCTCTCCCACCATGACCCACTACAGCCCTCGAATGCAATGAAATGGCCCTCGAATGTAATGAAACTGACTTAAAAGTAAACGCAAGTTTCTCTGAGTACAACTTCAATCATATGTAAA